AAAAAAAGCCTGTTTCCGTCCACTAAGCTCGATGTTCAGCTCTTCTCATCTAACCACTGCCAGCCACCATGCGGATATCGTCAGACCATTTTGCTGGTGGGCGCCCTACACTACGTTTGCCTAGATTCGGCCTCCACTCCAGAGAACCTTTCGGTTTTTCGACAAATGTTACTTGCTCACAGCCATTTCAGTTTTCTAATCCTTTGAGTTCCATGCACAGGTTCCATGTTTAGGCGAGAGCTTGTGTCAGACTCTTACTGCCTAAAAATCGCCCCATTCCGGTACCTTATTTCGCTTGTCTCGCAACCCCTGCTGAACCCCCGTTGAGCCCCATTTGTGGTGGTCTACTGGCTCTTTGAGGTCCGCGGCCTAATTCTTCACGCTATGTCGACAACTTTAATTTTCTGTAGGATCACACCTCCTTCATTTATAAATAAAGTTCCTTAGATACAGGAATACCTAGTTTAGGAGATTAAAACAAGATTCACAAGATTACTGATTCGTGTAGTTATAACGCAACACCTTGTATAAGTAGGTATAAACAAAGAAATAGGGCTGTCACTGTTCTCCATTTTAAGTAAACATGATCTTAAAGTGTTTATAAGAGAGGCTACTTGGCATTCGTCTCATGCAACATTTTTATAGTGTCAATAACTTGCAGACGTTTCAATAAACCTTTTACTGCGAAGTATGGAATAAATTTACGTAGATACAGAAGTTATTTGAATGGGATCACTCTTTGATTATCATATGGTAAGGAAGATGTATTGGGAGGGTTTCCTCCTCCACATTTGCTTTGTTTGTATTGAGTATGTTCGCTTCTGGAAATGTCAGCCAGTCAACTTTATTCGTCTTATTTTTCTTAGAGAATAGACTGGTTTATGAAAATAACACAGCCGATTATAAAAGAGAATTCTAAGTAAGAGCTGATTGTTGAGTTTTCGGATCCGATTTCAGAGTCAGGATGAAATTCTGTATTCTGGAAGTATTAAAAATGAATAAGACTAATTTTAGGAATAAGACGCGTAGAAAAACTCAACCGTTTTATGATACTTAAAATTCCAAAAATGTTATCAACTTATAAATAAAAAATAAACTGCAATTCGTTAGTAATAAAAAAAAAACACAAAACCAGCTGAACCGATTTAGCTGTTTTTAGCTATGAAGTTATTAAAAGTGAAACAATTGCAAGTAAAATAACGAACGAAACAATATTCTGGTGGTCAGTTAGTAGTAGGGTAGATATGTCATGAAAAAAACTGTTATGTATTACCTAATTTTGAAGCTATACAGAGTCAGCCGAAACAGCTACTATTAAATACTTTACTAAAACCGGCATTCAAAACTAGGGTCTTGTGTTTTATAAAATTAGTTTGATTTGATTCTTGTTCGAGTGTGAAGTGGGCATCGAAGTGACGGGGAAATTACATTATAGAATGCCACTTTTAACGTCATCTCATACTTTATCTATCAAAATGTTGCAGTCAATTTAGTTCAACTCGTTCCAATCCTTCCCCTCCCCCAATCCCTCCTAAATCCCTAAATCTCCAAATCCCTAATCCCTAAAAGGTCGGCAACGCACTCGTAACTCCTCCGTTGCGAGTGTCCATGGGCGGCGCTGATTGCTTACCATCAGGTAATCCGTCGGATCGTTTGCCGACCTATTAAATAAAAAAAAAAAAAACTCGCAAGTGTGGAGCGGATTGCACTCACAGCGGATTTGGATACGAAGTTTAGAATGAAGTCATAGAATCACACTGCAGCTGGTATTTGTATGAGAAATTGTTCTTAGTTTATGGAGAAAAGTTAGTACCCAAATGACATTAAATAATTGTTGCTCTATTTGTTGTCACAAAATAATTTGGATTTAGAAAAAGAACACGATATATCTGTCCTTGTCATTTTGGGTCTGACGTCACTGACGTGTCATTTGTTTTTATTTTGTAATATTCTAAAGGCGGCAATAATTTGGATTTAGAAAAAGAAAACGGTATATCCGTCCTTGTCATTTTGGGTCTGACGTCACTGACGTGTCATTTGTTTTTATTTCTAATGTGCTAAAGGCGGCCATAATTTGGATTTAGAAAAAGACAACGATATATCCGTCCTTGTCATTTTGGGTCTGACGTCACTGACGTGTCATTTGTTTTTATTTTGTAATATTCTAAAGGCGGCAATAATTTGGATTTAGAAAAAGAAAACGATATATCCGTCCTTGTCATTTTGGGTCTGACGTCACTGACGTGTCATTTGTTTTTATTTTGTAATATTCTAAAGGCGGCCATAATTTTGATTTAGAAAAAGGCAACGATATATCCGTCCTTGCCGTTTTGGGTCTGACGTCACTGACGTGTCATTTGTTTCTATTTCCCAATGTTCTAAAGGCGGTAATAATTTTGATTTAGAAAAAATACCGATATATCTCGACCTTTTATATAATTGGTCGGCAAACGTGCGTTGCCGACCTTTTAGGGATTAGGGATTTGGGGATTTAGGGATTGAGGAGGGATGGAAGGATTGGGCCGATCGTGTGACGTATTTTTCTTGTGCTGACAAGAAGAAACAATTCAATACTTTTCCCATATTTCATCAAATGGAACTTAAAGAGTAGTTTTTACGGCAAAAGAAAATTGTTGATTTTACTATTTTCCTTCCAATTTCTTCGGTGCGGAGTGGCCACAGTCTGGATGGCTTTATTCTAATAATTGAAGTCAAATTTACAAGTATTTTATGTATGAAATAAAATATGACGTTTACAGCAGTTTATATGACTAAATACTTACTTACCTAATTGATGAAAACTTAGTATGACACGGGTTAAAGTAACAGAAGAGTTATTTTTTAATCCTCACTATATTAAAAAATAAGTGTTATAGACTTCTCATCAAAAAATCGACAACGTTGATATATAGTTGATTCCTAGGAGTATTCCTCGTTAGATACCGTCTCTGAAGGAGGCTTTCGTAACCTAGATTTGTTATAGTTTGGGAAAAATATTTTCTTATATGACATTTGTAAAGCTTTTTGAGTAAGTAAGACTACCAGTTTGAGTGATTCAGAATCGACTCCAAGGTTTTCCAACCACAAGCCTGCACTAGGATTTTCTTCTGTGTCATAGATACGTTTATTTACATATAAAATCAAATGCACATCACATCTAGACCCGAAACAACTATTCAGTGAATCACACAAAGTTCAATGTGGAATGCGATTAATTTGCAGTAGTTTTTAGTGCTTTATAAGGAAATTTAAATAAATTTCTATCCCCAGAACACAAGTATAAACCTAAATATATTATTATTATTATATCAACCTAAAGTTATTGACACTTTTGTAAACCGATACTTTACTCAAAATATGATAAAACAATATCATAAAAGGACCGTGTGGAACAACGCGACGTCAATTCCAGTGATGGATGCCTGTAAACTGATGTATCCACGTGGATCATGTTTACTGAAGTATATATTTCAATATATTTATGAATTGCAGTCACCGTGAATGTACGGAAAAAATACTATATTTTTATTGCTACAATGTTGTTCAGTGTTCAAATGTGAGATACAATAGTGGAAATTTGAATTGTCATTCTAATTTTTATTCCATTTTTTAATTGTGTGAGTTATATATTTTAAAGTTCAAAGGTATCATATTTGAATTTTATTCCATTTTAAAGTCCATGGCATCATAATTATTTGAATCGGACTAAACAAACGCAAAAATGAATTTCAAATAAAAGTTCACTTTATTTAAAAATCATTCTGAGCGCTTAGTAAGGTGTTTCACGTGTGTGATAAAGGTCGTAAATTATGAAGTTATTATTACATAAACTGACATCATTGACATTGCTGTACTCAAGATATTTTATGATAACTTTAAGTATTTCTTAATAACAATTTATTTCAGAAAATAATTTCAAATGCTTGCATAAAATAACAACTACATTATTCTGAGTATGGAGTATTATTGCATAAAGTAAACTTACTTTAATTTCATTGTGCTTCATAACACATTTACATTACGAAGCCCAATAAAATTAAAAAAAACTAATACAATTTTTCTTTCCATTTCACTTCACTTTGATCCCATGAGATGATGACCTAACTAAAGAGGAGTCATAATGTATTAAGTCGATTTAATAAGTAGAGAGATAACCAGGAGACATAGACGCCATTTTGAAGATGGAATATAGAAGCATGGCTCTCCCACACTAAAACTAAAAATTATTAAGTTGAATTTTTAATAAAAATTACTTTAATTTAGCAGGAGCGTATGGACGTACCATGTTATATCATACATCGAATCACATATTTTAGTAAAATTACGTTGACACTCGTACAAAGGTTCATTACCCTTTCCATACTTTAAAACCTCCATTAATATAATGGAATCTAGTTATAAATGATGTGCTTGATTAAATTTTGCCTAGACCTACAATTTTAGGTCTCTGTTATGTCAGGGCAGGGCTAAGTATAGGTGAAGGATATTTTGATAGTTATATACAGATTTATGATAATGTTTCTTTTTAGTAAGTTTTAGTAGTGAGCTAGAATGACAGAGTTAAATTCACTCACGAGTATTATACTTAATTAAAGTTTCATAAAAAAATATAAGTTTATTTTTTAATACGGGAACCTTTTTACTACGACTCCTCTGTTATTCCGTCCTTTTGTCTGTTTGTCTGTCACGAGGTTGTATCTTGTAAACCGTGATAGGTAGATAGTTAAAAGTTACTCATTCATATAAAAATAAGTCTCTAAGCGTGACCACCAAGCAAGCCAATCACTGAATTCCATTTTTGAAAAATTTTGAAAATTTTATGAATTTTGGATTATATTTATAGACGCAGGCTTACAAGCAAGAACTATTGGAAATTCTACATCACATTTTCATTCCCGAATAACTAAGTATATTTTCAACAAAAGGAGTAAAAAACTTCTACATCCAACCTCCTAACTCCTACAGTTTTATGCTCTAATTTGCATTAAGTTTGTCAATTCTTTCGCAGCTATCCATCGTGTTCTGGAGCTATAGCACCAGGGTTGGCTGCAGACATGCACTTCAAGGATGACGTGATCGCCTTCATAGGTCCAGCCTGTGCCTTCGCCCTCGAGCCAGTCGCAAGGCTAGCAGCCTACTGGAATACGCCTATCATTACTGGTATGGGAGACCAGGTAAGACAATTGTATTTTTTTGAATATTCTAACTTAGTTCATGTTTTTGTATTTCAGAGTTTTTGAATTTTACTTACTTTATTTTACTTATTTTTAAAAGATTGGCAACGCAATTGTTTGTTCTCTGGTGTTACGTATTCTGATTTGGCTTTAGTCCCTTACCGAAAGAGGAACCATCTGTTAATGTGCACCTTCTTTCTATTCGATTCATGTCCGATTGTGATAAAGTGCCATTTCCTTAACTATTATCAATTTTAGATTTAGTACGCATTAGAAATATTAGAATACATTCAAGTGCATATACATACAAATACAACAACTAGTTTTCATTTCTTCATTTTGGTAATTTGTACTATTTCACTTTCGCCCGATTAATTTTGAACTAGAACGTTACTTTACAAGTCCTTGTAAGAAAGGAATATAAGCCTATAAAAATACTGAAAGTATCCCAAGTACTCTAAAAACGGTAAATAATCCATAAGCCAGCTGACTTGCAGAAATATATTTTTAGTGCCTACGTGTTGACATATGAAGGGAGATGGCTATAAATAGACTGCCTAATCTTTACGTAGCCACATATCTCAAGTTCGTCTAGCCTTTTTACGAGTACACTGTTCGTTATATTTTATTTTATCACAAGTTTTATTGGAAACCAAGGCCCTCAAAATTTGCAAACAATACGCAACGAAAACAAGCAACTTAAATAAAAAAAAGTGAAATGCTTTAATAAAGTGGATTGTAATTTGCTTTGTCTTAGAAGGTCGGCCATTACGAAGGTGCATTATGAATAATTCGGTAAATCACACTAATTGCTAAGGCAAATCCCTGCAAAAATAATGTTCTATAAACAAGCACTTAGCTGAACAACACTTTAATTGTTATTCTCGTAGTACTGCTACGTACGTGGCGTAGCGCGTAGCACGTAGCCGCGTAGGCGTAGTTAGCTGACTTGTTTTATTAGTCGTATTATTTATTACGGACTATTTCGAATGGTTTGTGTTATTAATACGATTATGAAATGTGTATGGCTTAAATTATGTACGTTTATATGTACATATGTAAGTTTCGGCATATATGATTAGAGGTGGTGGTGCTACGGACCGATTTCAGTCTCAGTCCTAACAATTTGAATAATGTTACCTTGTAAATCAATCGTCCTCAAGTGACGCTGTGGTTATGGAAGGTGTATCGTATCGTTCAAATTTGAGATTTGTTTAAGTTCAGAGTGTTGACCAAAGTCTTAGAATAAGTTCGTGAAACCGTACGCAACTGAACAAACAATTCTATCGTTTTTACTGCCTAAGAGCAATTTCTTTTTTCATAAAACCTTAGGCACACATTAGGATTTTCTCCTTTCTGTGTCGTGGATGCGTTTACAAACATACACATCATACCCAGACCTGGAACAACAATTTGTGGATCATACAAACTGTTATTTCCGGGAATCGAACATGCGACACGTTGCGCGGTAGCTAGTAGCCCAACTATCGCGTCAACCGTGCAGTCAACAATGTCATACGATAGATACAGCATGGAATACACTCATGTTTATTTATAGCATAATTTGTAAGAGTTGTCTTGATAATGTAAAATGGCGTGTGATCGGTATTATACATATTAACTGTTTTTGATTAAGTCGCTAGTCGATGACCACTCGGGTATTTCAACATTCTAGAATCTTTGCTTGACCTTAAAATAGCCACGTACTCTAATACAAGTCTATCTCAAGGTCAAGAAAAGCAAAGCAGTGCTTGTGGGCAGAAAGTATTTAGTAGGCAATAAAGATATTGGTCTTAATAACTTATTTTCTGGTTGACTTTGCCTGTACTATTTTGTATACATATACACAATGGCCTATTACACATCTACATAGATATTTATACCAGTTTGTAATGGTTGTTTTGTATGCTTTTTCGGTACATTCCAAGGTCAGTTAATTTTGGATTTTGTGTCATATTATTATGTAGACGTCTGTATGAGGTATGTGGGCAGTTATTAGTATCAGTGATGTTGTTTTATTTAAAAAAAGATGCGTCATGATTCTATTTGTAGTTTAATAAGGTTTTACGAATTAGGTTGCAAAAAATGATTTGTGAATTAAATTCTTATAAAAAAGCAATGGTGATGCATGTACCGGAAATCTATTTTATGTTGTCTACGTTCTTCGTCGAACGTTATAAGGTACGGCTCTATTATTAGGCATACGACACAAATCTAGTTTCTTAATATTGAAACCATTTCTTTTACGAGTATCGTTCGTATAACAATTACTAGACTAATCCGACAATCAAATAAATGGTTATGGACTCCATTTTGTATTGCAGTAATAGCCATTGAGACTAGACTAAGTATTTCTAATTTGAAATATTTCATTTTTATGATGATTCCATTAAATATTAGTGTTACACTGTTCTCACGTAATAAAAGCAACTTAACAATGTAACAAAGAATCAGTAATTATCTGTATGTGAAACTGATTGAAAGAGAAGAACGAACAAGAAATATGGGGTTTCCAATTTGTTCAGAATCTACACATCATACACATACACAACTACACAAGGAACAAGCAAAGACCGTCACTCTGACCGATAGACCGACACTTTTTATCTTTAAGCTTTGTTTGAGCTTCTGAAAGAGCCTGAAAGGGTCTAATTGATATAAATGTTTTTAACTTTTGATTTGTGTGTGTGTGGTTTTCAGCTGAGTCCTTATCGCAGGTTTTATATGAAACTACTTTGTGCTTACGGCTTCGCCTGTGTGAAATTTAGAAGATTTCCTACGAGCAAGAATTATATCTTTTTTATAAATAGCGAAATAAAAAGTAGACTGTGTTATTCTCAAAACAAGACTAAGCTGCCCTGTACTATTTTTGCTGAGTTGACATACACCACACCAATAGTAAAAAAAAATTTGGAACCGATCCAGTAGTGTCGTAGCGTATTGTTACGTGCCTGACGTCACGTTCCTGACTAAGCGGGCTTGGGTTACGGGATTGGATGAAATGAAACACTAATACCAGATTTCAGACTTTCTATTGCACTTAAGTTACAGCGTCCACGGAGTTAAGTTATCGGCGTTCCTCTCCAGCAGAGTCCGGCCGACTGACACAACTTTGCCGTTCACGCTGACTTAACTCACTTAACTGACTGCACTTCACTATTTCACTGCACTTCACTATTTCACTCACTTTTCTTCTTTTTCCTTCTTCCTTTTCTTCCGAATCGCTTTAGACTTAGAACTCAACTGCCAGCGGTGAGCCGCAGTTCTGCTTATATACCCCCGGTCAGGTTCTGGAACATTCAATTTCGTTATTCTTTTTGATCGTCATGCCTCCAGAACCTTCCAATAATTTCGCTATTCATTTTTATTTATTCTCCTTCTCACTCTTTAATTTTTCATCTCTTTCACACAAATAACTCCAGAAAGTTCGACAAAACTTCCATCAACTAAAAAACTTCATGTTTACGGCGGGACTCGAACTCGGGGTCTCTGTGGTGTAATCCACACGCCTTACCAATTACACCAACTCGTATTGACAATTCACGACGAAATTTACAATCTCTAGGCAACGTTTGACAACCATCCATTGACGTCATGATGTCAAAGAGTTTTCTGTCACACTGCCCCCCTCTTAGATTTGCTCGTCCCGAGCATCGTTGCTGCCGTAATACCTCGCCAACCTGTCTATATGGACAACTTTCAAAGGGCTCCTTGAAGACTTCCGAATTCTGTAAGTAATGTCATTGATCTTCGTGACTATCTCGTAAGGACCTTCCCAACTCGGTTGCAGCTTTGGAGATTTTCCCTTCCTTCTGACTGGATTATGAAGCCAGACCAATGACCCCTCTTCAAACCCAACAGAATTGGCTCGTCGATCATAGCGCGTCTTTGCGCGATCACTAGCTTGAAGACCGGCCTCCCTGATCTGCTCATAAATGTCCAACATTTTTGCCCTTAACTCGCTTATGTAATCGCTAAACTCGGTGCGAGAGTCACCAGGTGGACAGCCCGACACAAGATCTGCCGGTAATCTCAATTCCCTTCCAAAATTTGCAAATGCAGGCGTCTTTGCGGTACTTTCATGTACAGCAGTCCGATAGGCAAGCAAGAAGAGAGGTATGTAAGTGTCCCAATCTCTCTGATGGCTGTCAACCACCTTTGCTAAGTGTCGCTCCAATGTTTGGTTGAAGCGTTCGACCATTCCATCTGACTGTGGATGATAAGGGGTCGTTCGAGTCTTATGGATTCCCAAAAGTTTACAAGTTTCCTGGAAAACTTGGGATTCAAAGTTCCGTCCTTGATCACTGTGCATCTCCAAGGGCACTCCGAATCGGGTGAATACCTCGTTTACCAACTTCGTGGCTACAGTTACTGCCTCTTGATTCGGTATGGCAAAGACCTCCGGCCATTTTGTAAAATAATCCATAACCACTAAAACGTAGCGATTGCCCGAATCAGTGATTGGAAATGGTCCAGCGATGTCTAAGGCTATTCTCTCCCAAGGCATACCAACATTGTAGATTTTCATCGCCCCTCTGCTTCTTGTTTGTGGACCCTTGACAGCTGCACAACTAGTGCATTTCCGGCACCAATCTTCGACGTCATATTTGCAATGCAACCAATAAAACCTCTCCTTGATCTTCACCAAAGTCCTCCTAATTCCCAAATGTCCTCCAGAAGATCCATCATGGAACGCTTTTAATACATCCCTTATTTTTGAACGAGGCACCACCAATTGCAAATGCTCGTCCTTGCCGTTTGTTGATTCCCATTTCCTGCACAGAAGTCCGTTATGCAGCGTAAGGCTTTTCCACTGTGCCCATAAACCTTTCGTTACCGCGCTATATTGGGCGACGTCACTCCAACTTGGCTTGTTACCACTTCGTAGCCACTCCAGTATTGGTTTAATATCTGCATCTCTTTCCTGTTCTAATTTCATCGCATCATCTCCCCATGCCTCGTCAACAGTATCAGTCCTTATCACCTTAAGAAAAGCAGTT